GACTAAGAAAGAAAAAAAGAAGAATCCAGTTATGCCTGAGAAAACTAGATACCCACATGAGAAAGAATAAAGTTGGATCCTTACCTAACACCATCTACAAAAATTAATTCAAAATGGATCAAAAGCCTAAATGTAAGACCTAAAATAAGGCTGGGAGTGGTGGCTCACACCTGAATCCCAACACTTCGGGAAGCCGAGGTGGGTGGATCACGAGGTCAGGAGATCGAGACCATCCTGGTTATCCTGGTGAAACCCAATCTGTACTAAAAATACAAAAATTAGCTGGGTGTGGCAGCGTGCACCAATAGTCCCAGCTACTCAAGATGCTGAGGCGGGAGAATCGCTTGAACCCAGGAGGCAGAGGCTTCAGTGAGTCAAGATCACGCCACTACACTCCAGCCTGTGCGACAGAGCAAGACTCTCTCTTAAAAACAAAGCAAAACAAAACAAACCTAAAATTATAAAACTCTTAGGAGAAAACATAGGGCAGGATCTTCATGGAATTGGACTTGGCAAGGAGTTCTTGAATGTGTCTCCAAAGACATGGGCAACAACAAAAAAAAATAGACAAATTGGACTTCACGAACATCTAAAACTTTTGCGCATCAAAAAATGCTGTCAACGGAGTAAAGAGATGACCCATAGAATGAGAGGAAACATTTGCAAGTTGCATACCCAATTACAAATCTGAGGAAAAGATCTGAATAGACATTTCTTCAAAAAAGCTATGCAAATGGTGAATAAGCATATAAAAACATGCTCAGCATTGTTAGCCATCAGGGAAATAAAATCAAAATTACAATTCACTCCTACTACAGAGGCTTTAATTTAAAAAAATAGAGTAACAATTACTGAAAGGGATATCAAGAAACTGGAATTTTCATGCATGCTGATGAAAATGTAAATGGTGAAGCCACTTTAAAAAAGTTTGGAAGTTTCAAAACTGTTAAACATAGAGTTACAATATTACCCTGAAATTTCACTCCTGGGTATATTTCATTTCCTTTCGATATATGCCGAGAAGAGGAATAGCTGGATCATATGGTAGTTGTATTTTTAATTTTTTCAGGAACCTGCATACTGTTTTCTATAATAGTGATACCAAATGTACACTCCCACCAACAATGTACAAGTGTTCTCTTTTCTCCACACTCATATCAACACCTGTTACCTCTTATTATTTGATAATAGCCATCCTAACAGATGTGGGGAAGTATTTCGTTATGGTTTTGATTTGCATTTCCCTGATGATAGGAATACTGAGCACTTTTACATATATCTTTTGGCCGTCTGTACGTCTTTGAAAAATGCCTATTCAAGTCCTTTGCCTGCTTGAGGAGGTATTTTTGTTTGCTACTGATTTGTACGAGTTCCTCATATATTTTGGATATTCACCCCTCATTAGATACATGATTTAAAAATATCTTCCCTCATTCTGTAGGTTGCCTTTACATTTTTTTATTGTTTCTTTTGCTGTGCAGAAGCTGTTCAGTTGATGTAGTACCACTTACTTTTTGTTTTTGTTGCCTGTGCTTTGGAGTCATTTTTAAATATCACCACCAAGATCAATGTCAAACAGCCCTTTCCCCATGTTTTCTGCTAGTAGTTTTATGGTTTCGGGTCTTACATTAGAGACTTTATCCATTCTGAGTTAATTTCTCTGTATGGTAAGGGTTTGATTTTATTCTTTTGCATGTGGTAGATCCAGTTTTCTCAGCACCACTGATGACAGCGTACTTTCCCCATTGCGTACTCTTGATGCCCTTGTCAAAGATTAGATGACTGTATGTGTGTGGCTTTATTTCTGGGCCTCTATTGTATTCCATATATCTACATATCTGTTTTCACGCCAGTATCATGTTGTTTTGATTACTACAACTTTGTAATACTCTTAGAAATTGAAAAGAGTGATGCTTTCAATTTCATTCTTCTTACTCGAGATTGCTTTGGCTATTTGGGGTCTTCTATAGGCTCCATACAAATTTTAGGATTGTTTTTTCTATTTCTGTAAGAAATGACATTGAGATTTTGATTGGGATTGCATTGAATCTGTAGATAACTTTGGAAAGTATGGACACTTTAAGAACATTGTTTATTCCAATGCATGAACACAGGATATTTTTTCATTTGTTCATGTCTTCTTCAATTTCTTCATCAATGTTTAATAATTTTAGTGTGTCAATTGGTTCACCTCATTGGTTAAATTTATTTCAAAGTATTTTATTATTTTGATGCTATTGTAAATAGGATTGTTTTCTTTATTTATGAGATAATTTGCTGTTAGTATATGAAAATTCAACTGATTTTTGTATATTGCTTTTGCATCTCGTACCTTCACTGAATGCATTTATTATTTTAAACAGTTATTTGGTAGATTCTTACGTTGTTCTGTAAGTAAAATCACATTTTCCACAAACAGAAGCAATTTTACGTCTTTCTTTCCAATTTGGAGGTATTTTGTTTCATTTTCTTTCCTGATTGCTCTGGCTAAAACTTCCAGTATTGTGTTGAATGGAAGTGGTGAGAGTGGGCATCCTTGTCTTGTTCCTGATCTTAGAGAAAGCTGCCACGTTTTTATAATTAAGCATGATGTTAGCTGTAAGCTTGTTATATATGGCCTTTATTACACTAAGGAGTATTCTTTCTATAGCAAATTTGTTGAGAGTTTTTATTATAAAAGAATGTTAAATTTTCTCAAATGATTTTTCTGCATCTATTGAAATGATCATATGGTTTTTATTCCTCATTCTGTTAAACTGGCATATGGTGTTTATTGAATTGCGTATGTTGAATCACCCTAACAACCTAGAGATAAATCCCACTTGATCATTGTGTATGATCTTTTAAATGTGCTGTTGAATTTGGGTTACTTTGTTGAGAATTTTTGTATCTATGATCATCAGTGATATTGTCCCGTAATTTCTTTTCTTGTACTGTCCTTTTCTGGATTTCATATGAAGATAATGCTGGCGTCATAAAACGAGTTTGTAAGTGTTCTCTGCTCTTCAATTTTGTATAAGACTTTGAAAAGGATTGGCAATATTTCTTTAAATGTGTGGTAGAATTCACCCATGAAGCTATATCTCATCCTGGGATTTTCTTTGCTAGGGTTTTTTTTTTTTACTTGTTTGGATTTTTATATTTTCATGATTCAGTCTTGGTAGATTGCATGTTTCTGGGAACTTTTTCTAGGCTATCTAATTTGTTGGCACATGATTGTTCATAGTAGTCTCATGAGCCTACGATTTCTGTGGTATCAGTTATAATGTCTCTTCTTTCATTTATGATTTTATTTATTTGAATCTATTCTTTCTTTTTATTAGTCTAGCTACACATTTGTAAATTTCACTTACCTTTTCAATTTATCAACTTTTTCATTGTCTTTTTAGTCTATTTTTAATTTATTTCTGCTCTAATCTTTATTACTTCTTTCTTTCTGCTAACTTTGTTTCAAGGTTTTTTTTAATTTACATTTTGATTTCTTCTTTGACCAATTAGTTGTTCAGGAGTCTATTGTTTAATTTCCACTTATTTATGAATTTTCCAGTTTTCCTCCTGTTACATCAGTGTGCAAATTATATCTCAAAAAAGGTGGAATTTTTTTTAATGAGACACACATACAGAGGCTACCTGTTCAATTTTTGGCTCATTCACATGTAGGAAAGTTTTTTTACGATTATGCATAATTGCTGTTTACAGTATGTCAATGAACTAATCTGTCTTAACATATTTGAAATTGTTCAGATACAATGCTTATAAAGACAACAGGTAAGCTCTGAAAGCGAAAATTTTATGTATTACAGATAATCTAAAGCAAAACAGGCTCCTGGAACTGATAAATGACTTCAACAAAGTTATAAGATATAAAATCAATGTACAAAAATCAGTAGCATTTCTATACACCAATAATACTCAAGCTGAGAGCCAAATCAAGAACACAATGCCATTTACAGTAGCCACAAAAATTGTAAAATATCTAAGAATCTAACCAAAGAGATGAAAGATCTCTACAAAGTGAACTACCTTAAACTGTTGAAAGAAATCACAGATGACACAAACAAATGGGAAAATATTCATGAGTATGGATTGAAAGAATCGCTATCAATATAAGTGGCCATACTGCCTAAATCAATCTACAGATTCAATACTGTTCTTATTAAACTATCAATGTCAGATTTCAGAGAATTAGAAAACTCTATTCTAAGTTTCATATGGAACTAAATAAGAGCCCTAATGGCCAAAGCAATTCTAACCAAAAAAAAAAAAAAAAAAAAAAAAAATCAAAGCCAGAGGCATCACGTTATTTAACTTCAAACTGTACCTAAAGCTACAGTAACCAAAACAGCATGGTGTTCATAAAAATAATAGACACATAGACCAAAGTAACAAAATAGAGAACCCAGAAATAAAGCCACACACCTACAGCCATCTGATCTTTGACAAAGTGGACAAAAATAAACAATGGGAAAAGGACTCTCTATTCAATAAATGATGCTGGGATAGCTGACTAGCTATGTACATCAGAATGAAACTGCCTCCCTACCTTTCACCATTTAAAAAAAAATTCACTTAAGATGGATTAAGATTTAGATATAAGACCTCAAACTAGAAGAATCCTGGAAGAAAAGCTAGGAAACACCATTCTTGATATTGTCTTTGAGAAAGAAGTTATGACTAAGTTCTTAAAAGCAATTGCAACAAAAACAAAAATTGATGAGTGGGACCTACTTAAACTAAAGAGCATTTTCACAACAAAAGAAACGATCAACAGAGTAAACAACTTACAGAATGAGAGAAAATATTCACAAACTATGTATCTGACAAAAGCCTAATATCCAGAATCTGTAAGGAATCTAAACAATTCAACAAGCAAAAAAAAATTATTAAAAAGTGGGCAAAGGACTTGAACAGACACTTCAAGATGTTGGCTGCTTGTATGAAAGAAGACAAACAAGCAGCCAACAGACATTAAAAAAAAAAAAAAAAAAAAAAAAAAAGCTGTTTGTTTCAGCAGCACATATTCTAAAATTGGAACTATACAGACAAGACTAGCATGGCCCCTGTACAAGGATGACAAGCAAATTTGTGAAGCACTCTTTATTTTTTTATTATCTCAATAGATGCAGAGGAAACCTTTGACAAAATTCAGCAGCTGTCTATGCTAAAAAAAAAAAAAAAAAAAAAAAAAAAACCCTCAATATACTATGCATCGATGGAACGTATCTCAAAATAATAAAAACTATTTATGACAAACCCACAGCCAATATCATACTGAACAGGCAAAAACTGGAAGCATTCCCTTTGAAATCTGGCACTAGACAAGGATGCCCTCTCTCACCACTCCTATTCAATATAGTACTGGAAGTTCTAGCCAGAGCAATCAGGCAAGAAAAAGAAATAAAAGGTATTCAATTAGGAAAAGAGGAAGTCAAATTGTCTCTGTTTGCAGATGACATGACTGTATATTAGAAGACCCCATCATCTCAGCCTAAAATCTCCTTAAGCTGATAAGCAACTTCAGCCAAGTCTCAGGATACAAAATCAATGTGCAGAAATCACAAGCATTCCTACACACCAATCACAGATAGGGAGCCAAATCATGAGTGAACTCCCATTCACAATTGCTAAAAAGAGAATAAGATATCTAGGAATACAACTAACAAAGGATGTAAAGGATATCTTCAAGGAGAACTACAAACCACTGCTCAAGGAAATAAGAGAGGACACAAACAGATGGAAAAACATTCCATGCTCATGGTTAGGAAGAATCAATATTCTTGTGAAAATGGCCATACTCCCCAGAGTAATTTATAGATTCAATGCTGTCCCCATCAAGCTACCATTGACCTTCTTCACAGAACTGGAAAAAATCACTTTAAACTTTGTATGGAACCAAAAGAGATCCTGCATAGTCAAGACAATCCTAAGCAACAAGAACAAAGCTGGACGCATCACACTACCTGACTTCAAACTACAAGGCTACTGTAAATAAAACAGCATGTTTTTGTACCAAAACAGATATATAGACCAGTGAAACAGAACAGAGGCAATGCCACACATCTATGACCATCTGATCTTTGACAAATCTGATAAAAGCAAGCAATGGGGAAAAGATTCCCTGTTTAATAAATGGTGTTGAGAAAACCGGCCAGCCATGTGCAGAAAGATGAAACTGGACCCCTTCCTGACACCTTACACTAAAATTAACTCCAGTTGGATTAAATATTTAAACGTAAGACCTAACACCATAAAAATCCTAGAAAAAAAAAAGAAAAAAGAAAGAAAAAACAGGCAAAACCATTCAGGACGTAGGCGTAGGCAAGGATTTCATGACTAAAACACCAAAAGCATTGGCAACAAAAGCCAAAATAGACAAATGGGATTTAATTAAACTTAAGAGTTTCTGCACAGCAATCTACCTGTCTGACAAAGGGCTAATATCCAGAATCTACAGTGAACTAAAACAGATTAACAAGAAAGAAAACAAACTCATTCAAAAGTGGGCAAAGGATATGAACAGACACTTTACAAAAGAAGACATTTATGCCACCAACAAACATATGAAAAAATGCTCATCATCACTGGTCATCAAAGAAATACAAATCAAAACCATATTGAGATACCATCTCACACCAGTCAGAATGGCAATCATTAAAAAATCTGGAGACAGCAGATGCTGGAGAGGATGTAGAGAAATAGGAACACTTTTACACTGTTGGTGGGAGTGTAACTTAGTTCAACCATTGTGCAAGACAGTGTGGTGATTCCTCAAGGATCTAGAAATAGAAGACCATTTGACCCAGCAATCCCATTACTGGGTATATACCCAAAGGATTATAAATCATTCTATTATAAAGACACATGCACACATATGTTCACTGCAGCACTGTTTACAATAGCAAAGACTTGGAACCAACCCAAATGCCCATCAATGATAGACTGAACAAAGAAAATGTGGCACATATACGCCATGGAATACTATGCAGCCATAAAAAACGATTAGTTTGTGTCCTTTGTAGGGACATGGATGAATCTGGAAACCATCATTCTCAGCAAACTAACACAAGAACAGAAAACCAAACACTGCATGTTCTCACTCATAGGTGGGTGTTGACCAATGAGAACACATGGACACAGGGAGGGGAGCATCACACACTGGAGTCTGTTGGGGGGTGGGTGCTAGGAGGACAGCAGAGGTGGCAGAGAGGTTGGGAAGGGATAACACTGGGAGAAATGCTTGATGTAGATGACGGGAGGATGGAGACAGCAAACCACCATGGCATATGTGTACCTATGCAACAATCCTGCAAGATCTGCACATGTAACCCAGAACCTAAAGTACAATTAAAAAAAAACCTCAACATCATTAATCATCAGAGACACAGAGACATACAAATTCAAACTACAATGAGATACCATCTCACACCAGTCAGAGTGGCTATTACTAAAAAGTCAAAAAACAATATATGTTGGCTATGCTGTGGAGAAAATGGAACACTTATACACTGTTGGTGGGCATGCAAATTAGCTTAGCCACTGTGGAAAGCAATTTAGAGATTTCTCAAGAACTTAGAACTATCATTTGACCCAGCAATGTTATTATTATTACTGCATATATACCCAAAAGAAAATAAGTCTTTCTACCAAAAAGATACCTGTACTCATATGTTCAAATGTCATAGTACTATTCACAAAAGCAAAGACATATAATCATCTTAGGCTCCCATCAGTGGTGGAATGGATAAAGGAAATGTAGTACATACATACCATGGAATACTACACAGCCAGAAAAAAATGAAATTACATCCTACGCAGCAACATGGATGCAGCTGGAGGCCACTATTCTGAGCAAATTGACACATGAACAGAAAACCAAATATCTCATGTTCTGACTTACACATGGGAGCTAAACCCTGGATACTTGTGGACATAAAGATAGCAACAGTAGCCACTGGGAACTACCAGAGCAGAGAGGGAGTGAAGGGAGTAAGGGTTGAAAAACTGCCTATTAGATACTATGCTCGGTACCTGACTGATAGGATCAATCATATTTCAAGTCTCAGCATCATGCTATATACCCATGTTACAAGCCTGCATATGTACCTCCTGAATTGAAAATAAAAGTTGAAATTATTTTTAAAAAGAATAGAACAAAATAAAACATTGATGACAATGATCCCTTGTCTCATATCTCACCAGTATGATGTATTTTTTTTCATTATTGCTTTTTATACCTGTGTCAGCTTAGTAGGTGAAAAATACTTTTGAAAAAAAAACTTTCATGCCCTTGAACTGCAGCATTTTTTCCAAGTGTCTACTAATAGGTTATTTTCCTATTTGAAATACTATAGTCATAGATTTGTTTAAAGTTTCTTTGTAGCAGTGCTCTTATATATTTAATTTTGTATCTTAATTTTAAAAACAATAGTTTATCATAACTCCAATTGGTATGTGATCTCAAATAAGCTTAATTTTAACTGCTACATAACTGCCTTTTAGTGGTTATATAACAGATTAGTGAATTATTTCTCTGATGTTAAGTATTTTATTGTCTTTTCTTACATACACACATGAAATGCCAATAATGCTCTTGGCATGAAACGTTGTCTATGTTTATTTATCTAGAAAGATAACTAGAAATGAAAATGCTGATGCTAAAATATGAACTTTTCTCAATCTTAACACAACTTACTTTCCAAAAGACTTGTATTATATTAATTTCTCCATTTTCCCAAAATCCTCCATTTCCCAAAAATCTTGAGTGCTTTGAACATTACCCTTTCAAAATGAAAATTCACATATATTCTTAATGACAAGAAAATCAGCTGGCCTAAAGAAACCTTCTGCAAGAGAGACCTGCACCACTGTGTTACACTGTGTGCAACCAGCGGGTGGTTTGCATCTGCTCAGGACAGAGTCCACTCGTGTGCTGCTCATGCTGACCACACTCTACAATGCACGGCTTGAGGAGATGGTCAGTCCTAGGATGTGATTTGCCTTCTACCAGAGGCTGGTTCTGGACATTTCTCCCACAGGCCGTGCTCTAAACAAGGAATGCATTTTCCCAGGGTCATGGGTAGCTTGAGTCAGAGTGCGGAGCATACCCTGGCTTCCGCTGCTCCCAGCACAGCACATACAAACTGAAGGTAAGAGATAAAAAAGCTTTTCTTCCAGATTATTTTAAAATCTGTGCTCGGAGTTTCCTGCCACATCCTCCACAGTGATCTCCACGTGTCAAGCAGCAGGAACAGAAGGAAAAAAATCAACCACGTGCTTTACCACGGAGCACCCCTGAATGGACCCCAGAGCTGGGGCAGAACAATGTTCATCAGAGGGAAACAGTGCTTCATCAGAGACAGGGACAACGCCCCAGAGACACGTGATCACCCGTTTTCTGCAACTTAGAGTAACATTCCCTACAAATATGCTGAAGAGCATCTTCAGAGGAAAGAGCAGTGTGGCTGAGACCATGCACAGCCTAATTGGAAGAGTATTTCTGGAAGAGTACACCATATGCTTTACATTTGCATCCCATCTATAAATATCCCAGGAACAACTTGAGTCCATAAATACCGTATTCAGAATGCTTTGCTGGAATCATCTTCCACTGCTCAGCCGTCTGTTTACTAATGCGGCTGTTCCTTGCCCCACTCATGGTACAGAATCATCCCCATGATCAGGGTCATTTTGGGAAGTGAGCGGGTGCCACAGAGCCAAAGGTGGCCAGCAGCCTCTCCTCTGTCACATTTGCTTGGTCTCCTCCCCCATCGAGCTCTCAGGCCACCTCCAGGTAGAAAGTGACAGAGGACACTTCCTTAGCAAAAGCCTGGACAAGACATGAAATCGTTAATGAAACCCTAGAGACTGCAGTAAGGGAAGAGCCCTGTGCACCTGCAGCACTAACCTTTATCCAGAGTGTCCATGTGCAGTGGACAAGCAGGAGCTGTCTTCATTGTGAATCTGTTCTGCTGGAATTCATCTTTATTCTGCCAATGAGAAAACCAGGACTTGACAATATTAAGAATCTCACCCTGTGAACAAGCCAGGATTCTAACCTGGAGTTTATCTCAAACCACACTTGTCACAGGTGGCAAGACTGGAAAAC